GGTCAAACTGGTTTTAGCTGGATTTAACTGGTCATTTTCCAGCCTGACCAGCTAAAACCAGACAGGAAATGGCTGGAAACCAGCCTGGAAATGGCCAAAACCCCTCTAAAACCAGCCTGGTCAACCAGTTTGAACCAGCCAACCACCCTAGGCTGGTTTAAGCTGAATTTTTCAGCAGGGTTCTGGAATATAATTGGCTAAACTGGCATTGGCTAGGTTAAAGGGACCAATACAAAGACAGACGTTCCGGCACGTAACGCACATTCTTAAAGCAGATCATGCTGACTACAGCATTGCTTTTCAGCTAAACAAGAATGTTAGCTTGGCATGTTTCTGAAATATCTGCAAACATATTATGGTATGTTCATGCTTAAAAAAGAGTCAAAAACTTACATAGAGCACCTTTAACATTCTCTAATTAGACTGTACAAGCAAAGAAAAGGCTTGTTTATTAGCCGTCGACCCTCTCTCAAACACGACAGAGTGACATACGCATGACTTTATCTTAAATAAGTCAAATAAAACTAGTGAGAGTTTAGAAAGTGTGCTTCAGCCAAACAGCTCTCCAACTGTAGCACTCTCAGCTAATATATGAACACTGCTCCATTCAGACGCCAATTTAGACACTAGTGCACTAAAAGCCCTCTGCCTGTGTGTGTGTGTGTGTGTGTGTGTGTGTGTGTGTGTGTGTGTGTGTGTGTGTGTGTGTGTGTGTGTGTGTCAGTGGCTCTAATGAATTGAGATGAATGTCGTTTGTCTGCGAGTTGAAGCACAAAGGAGCAGGGCTCTTTGCTCTGTTCTTAAAAAGGCCCGTCTGCCCTCAAAAGCTTTGTTTTCCTCTGGACGCCGGCAAATAAGCGCAGCCGTACACATTAATGCATATTTGATGTGCCTTTGGTCCCCGAGTCACTTCATTAGCGCTAAAAGGCAGATGTAGAGCCGCGTTTTATGAGCTCTGTTGATGGACGCCGTAATAAACAGCATCTTCTCCATCACACAGAAGGCCGCGCGTGTCATCCCCGTCCAAGAGCTCAGCTTGTGGGAATCACAGAGTCTGCGTGTGTCTGAGATCTGTGTTCTTGCTTTAAAAGACACAACGAATGTTGCAAAGCCGTCATTTATTGTGCCTGCATGAGATTCAGGAGGTTGTTATCTCAGAATAAAGCCTGACAGGTTCATCACACACGACAGGAGAAGCACACACTCATAGCATGAAGGCCGCCGGTTCCAGCCTCGGCTGGATCAGTTGGCATTTCTGTGTGGAGTTTGCATGTTCTCCCCACTTTAACGTGGGTTTCCTCCGGGTGCTCCGGGTTTCCCCCACAAGTCCAAAGACATGCGGTACAGGTAAATTGGGTAAGCTGAATTGTCTGTAGTGTATGTGTGTGAATGTGTATGGGTGTTTCCCAGTGATGGGTTGCATCTGGAAGGGCATCCGCTGTATGTTGGATAAGTTGGCGGTTCATTCTACTGTGGAGGCCCCAGAATAATAAAGGGACTAAGCCGAAAAGAAAATGAATGAATGAATATTTGACTTTTGGAAATCTCCAACAACCCCCAGGGGTTCCTGACCCCCAATTTAGATACCCCTGCTTGAAATCCCCTTTCCTCCCCATTCTGATGCTCGATTTGAACTGCAGCAGATCGTCTTGACCATGTCTACATGCCTAAATGCATCGAGTTGCTGCCATGTGATTGGCTGATTAGAAATTTGCATTATCGAGGAGTTGGACAGGTGTACCTAATAAAGTGGCCGATGAGTGTACGCGTGTAAGTGAGTGTGTGTGTGTGTGAATGCATGGGTATCTGTGTTTGTGTATGCATGTTTGTGTGAGCGTGTCTGTGTATGCATTGGTGTGTGTGTGTGTCTGTGCGCGTTCACATGCGTACGTTTTCTGTACGTCTTCTTGTGTGTGTGTGTGTGTGTGCATGTATGCATGTGTATGGTTGTTGGCATGTGCATCTGTTTTGTGTATGAATGCATGTGTGTGAGAGCATGTAAGTGTGTGTGTGTGTGTATGCATAGGTATCTGTGTTTGTGGATATACTTTATTTTGTGTGTCTTTTTTTGTGTAGGTGTTTGTGTGTGTTAACTGTCAGGGCAGTGCTCTTGTGCATTAGTGGCGTTGTGATTGGATTAGTTGGTGAAATGTAATTTTGCAGTGTTGCTGTTAGTGGTGTCACACACACACACACACACACACACACACAGCAGAATCAGATTACAGTATTAAAATAAGCCGGCTTTGATTGCACAGGGATAGCAGCACCTCCTCCAGCAGGAGCACACAATAAATCAATTAACTCTTACTGCTTCCTGCCACTGCTTCATTCCATTAAGACCAAACCACATTACAGAGGGCGCTCCTGTACAGCGACGCTAGCGCTCTACACACCACATAATAAAACAACATTCTGCGGCTGCTCTTTAAACTGATCACATTTAGATTAAAGCCTTAGATTTGTAAACTGTGTTATGCTGTTTTGTGTCTTTACACACACACACACACACACACACACATATTTGATGTCCCAATAAAGCCACAATTGAATATTTAAAATAGTGAAATATTATTACAGGCTTCAATTAATATTGCATATTAATATTTCTATTAAATGGCTCAGTGCTTGTGTAACCCCGCCAGTCCTACACCACCCAACCCGTTCTGAGCTGGTATCGAACCGGCGACCTTCCACGTGGGAGTCGGTTGCTCTACCAAGGAAGCTGAAGACCATGGCCTCTCGCGTCTGATGCTAGAGCACCTTTAGAGGTCAGAGGAGTGAGGTTTACCTGCACAGCACTTACTAGCTGGCCTCCGTTACACTCACCCCCCTAAACCTCACTCCCATCCGGGTCACGGCACCAATGTAACCCTGCCAGTCCTACACTACCCAACCTGTTCTGAGCTGGTATCGAACTGGCGACCTTCCGCATGAGAGTCGGCTACTCTACCAAGGAGTGAGTGCATGGCACCTACTGGCTAGCCTCCGTTACACTTGCCTCACAGCAAGGTCACTGTTTCGAGTATAGGCTGGGTCAGTTGGTGTTTCTGTGTGGAGTTTGCATGTTCTCCTCATGTTGGCGTGGGTTTCCTCCATGTGCTCCGGTTTCCCCCACAGCCCAAACACTTGTATTAGGAGGGAAAACAACATAAACTATAAACAAAGATAAGCAAGACGAGGAAATACTTTGAAATGCTCACTTACAGGTTAATAAGACTCAGCAAAGAGTGTGTGTGTGTTTTTCAATGTGAGGTGTATTTATAGTCCATGGGCCTGTTCTTCGTACGTGGATTACTCAGTTAGCTGGATTTGGTTATTGATGATTTGATACGATCCAGATTGTTTTGTTCTTCAAAACTGATCTGAGAGTTGTTGTCATAGCAGCAGTTCTGGTAGCTCAAACCCGCTTGGGAGCAGGCTCGTTTCATATAAACAAGATTAGATCGGGTCAGTCAAGCAAAGATAACACTGAAAGTATGTACCAAATTCTGATATTTTCCCACAGTAGTAGTTATATACACTTGGGAAAATAGTAAATATATTTTGTAACTATATATATATATATATATATATATATATATATTTAGTTATTAATAAAACTTATGCAAACTGCACTCCAAAATAAAAGTACAAAGACTGCCACCTGCTGGTTCAAAGACAACATTTATTGATGTGATCTTTTTAGATTGCCTTAGTACAATTTGTGTGTATTATACATGCACACTATGTGACTTTTTAAAAAGAAATAATACATTTATGCAGTCATGAACATGTCTTGACAGCTAATATGACGGTGATTTGATGCTTCACAAAAGTTGCATGCGTTCATGCATTCGTGCGTGCATTCGTTTGTCTGTTTGTGCATTCGTGCGTTCGTTTGTTTGTGCATGCATGCGTGCGTTCGTTCTTTTGTTTGTTCATCCATTAGTTTGAGCGTTTGTTCATTCGTTCTTTTGTGCATGCATGCGTGCATCTGTTTGTGTGTGCATTCATTTGTGCATGTGTGTGTTCATTCATTCGTTTGTTCAATCCTTCGTTCGTTCCTTTGTGCATTTGTGCGTTCGTTCCTTCACTTGTTCATGCATGCGTGTGTGCGTTCCTTTGTGCGTTCGTTCTTTTGTTTGTGCATGCATTTGTGTGTGCGTTTGTTCATTCGTTAATTTGTGCGTGTATGCGTGCATTTGTTTGTGTGTGCATTCATATGTGCATGTGTGTGTTCGTTCATTCGTTCGAGCATTCATGCGTGCGTGTATTCGTGCATTTGTGTGTGCGTGCATTCATTTGTGCGTTCGTTCGTTTGTTCGTGCATTCATACGTGCGTGCATTTGTTCTTTCGTCCGTGCGTTTGTTCTTTTGTTTGTGCATGCATTTGTGCGTGCGTTTATTTGTGCATGTGTGCGTTTATGCATTCGTCCGTGCATTTGTTTGTTCGTTCATACATTGGTGCATTCACTCATTCATTTGTGCATGCATGTGTGCATTTGTTTGTATGTGCATTCATTTGCGCATGTGTGTGTTCGTTTGTTCCTTCGTTCCTTCATGCAGTTTTGCGTTCGTTCCTTTGTTTGTTCATGCGTTCGTGTTTCCACGTGTGTGTTCCTTGGTTTGTGCTTTCGTTCTTTTGTTTTTGCATGCGTTTGTGTTTGCGTATGTTCATTCGTTCGTTTGTGCATGTATGCGTGCATTTGTTTGTGTGTGCATTCATTTGTGCATGTGTGTGCGTTCGTTCGTACGTTTGTGCGTTTGTTGGGAATACAAGAATACACATAACAGTACACAAAGCACAATATCAACAATGTTGAGGCATTGACAAAAATTTACAGCATAGAACAAATGATATAATAAATAAAATAGAGGAACGGTATGTTTTGCATGTTATTTTCCGTAAGATTCCTTTCATAAAAACCTTATATCCAGAGTAAATTCTGACCGTTTTCCTAGCTTTCTATCAGCTGAAACTGAGATCAGCTTTCTATAACTCTCATGTCCTCCTGCAGAGCCGCCGAGACCCATCGCTCCACCTCAGCTGCTGGGCGTCGGGCCCACATACCTGCTGATCCAGCTCAATGCTAACTCCATATTCGGGGACGGGCCCATCATCCTGAAGGAGGTGGAGTACCGCATGACGTCCGGCAGCTGGACAGAAACCCACGCCGTCAACTCGCCCAACTACAAGCTCTGGCACCTGGACCCCGACACCGAATATGAGATCCGCGTGCTGCTGACTCGTCCCGGAGAGGGGGGCACCGGACAGCCCGGGCCCGCGCTCATCACCAGAACCAAGTGTGCAGGTCAGTTAGGGCGTCTTCTCTGCTCCTGTGGTTGCATTTAACATTTGAGTTGAAGAGTATAGCTGGGAGGGGGTTGGGGGGAAGTCAAAAGCAGTGTCGAGTAGGGGGTGAGGGGTTGTTTTTGGGGTTGGGCCCCCTTATAGTATGCCTGTGGGAAGTTAGTAGTTACCCGCTCCTCCTAGCAGCACACCATGCTTATGGCAAGTGTCACTAGCTATTTTCCATCTACCTATTGTTTGGATATGCATATCCTATATTGGATATGCAGTTGACGAAACTCCAAGATGCGCATAAATTTAGAAAATTTGCATTAATAATAATATTTTTATTTGATAGGAAAAGATGCACGTACACTATGACGAAAACACTATTAGCAAAGAAATTCCAGTATGCTCATTAAAAGGGTCATGTGATTTTTGTTATAAGAGATCATGTGATGGGGCGGCGCAGTGGGTAGCACGTTCGCCTCACAGCAAGAATGTCGCTGGTTCGAACCTCGGCTAAGTTGGCATTTTTTGTGGAGTTTGCATGTTCTCCCTGCGTTCTGCGTTTCCTCCGGGTGCTCCTACAGTCCAAAAACATGCGGTACAGGTGAATTGGGTAGGCTAAATTGTCCGTAGTGTATGAGTGTGTGTGTGTGAATGTTTCCCAGAGATGGGTTGCGGCTGTAAGGGCATCCGCTGCATAAAAACTTGCGGGATAAGTTGGCGGTTCAATCCGCTGTGGCGACCCCAGATTAATAAAGGGACTAAGCCGACAAGAAAATGAATGAATGAATGAGATCATGTGATGATAATAATGTGTGTGAATGGATTAACCAGCAGGCTGAGCACACTGTAAACCATCTGAAACGCCTTAACCGTTTCAGTATCAGTGTTATTATATTATTAATGACCTCCAGAATTGTTAAGAGCGTCTGTGCCTCCAAGTGTCACTCCGCGTCTCACTCCTTCAAATGCCACCACGCGTTCAGTGTGTGTCAGCATTGTCTTCTGAGGCGCAAGTCATTTATTAAATGAAGAAAAGATTGACGCAGCTTCTCCTACCCAAGCAATTTCCTTCTGCTGTTGATATTTGGCGCCAGTTAATCAGGAAGTGACGATATAGTTCGATTTGATGCATTGGATGGAAACGCTGCTTTATTTGCATGTCTTTTATGGGATAATCCAGTTTTGCGCATTTTTGGATGAAAACATCCAGCTGGTAAGTGACTTTTTAATTGTTTGACATTGTTTGAGATGTCTATATGACAACCAGACATTATCAAGACTATATGACTTGTCATAAATCTGTCATAAACATGATTGTCATTAGACCATTATAGTTGTCATGAATTTTCTAAAAGCATCATTAATATTTTTCTTGACCTCAACTACAGTGATACATATGGAACATTAAAATGTCTTTCAGTATCATCGAATATTAATGACGCTGTTTTAAAATTATGTGATAGAGTATTAATGCTTTTAGTAAGTCTATTTATGAACTAATGTCGAGAGGATCGTGTGCTTATGATTGATCACGCATTATTCAATTTTTGATTCACCAATCAGACGATTCTTAAGCCACTATATATACCCTAAGCTCCATATGACAGCCATCTTCATTTTGAAGAACCCCCCCTTCCACCCCTACTCCTCCTGCTTTCCTAGATGTGTGGCCCGGTGCTTAGCACTTTAGCCTCACAGCAAGAACAACACTGGTTCTAGTCCTTACCAAGCCAGCCGACGTTTCTGTGTGGAGTTTACACGTTCTCCCCGTGCTTACGTGGGTTTCCCCTGGGTTTCCCGGTTTCCTCCCACCATCCAAAAACATGCAGCTTCAGTTAATTGACTAATCCAGCACCATAGACATGCTCCTAGTCAGTAGTTATCTCTTAAGAGCGATCACTATCTGTTCATGAGCTACTACAGCAGGGGAGTTCTCCACACCTACCTGAGCTCAAACACGCCCTGCAAACGGAAGGGAGCCCCAGGCTCGAGGATCTTATGAGCTCAGGGCTCTCTCTCGGGACAGCATGCCAAACAAGCTTTATAATCAATCATCAGCTAAGTGTGAACTCTTGAAATGAGTAATTATGATGACAAACTTTGTTCCATTAAAAAAAAAAATGATGAGAAAATTATTGTTATAATGTCTTCATGACAATCATGTTTATGACAGATTTATGACGTCTTGGTAATGTCAAGTTGTCATAAAGACTAAGAGATGTTATTTGTTTATGTTAAGTTGTGATAAAGACATCTCAACATAATCATATTTGCATTTAAAAATAACACTATTGGGGACGACGCAGTGGCGCTGTAGGTAGTGCTGTCGCATCACAGCAAGAAGGTCGCTGGTTCGAGAGTCAGCTGGGTCATTTGGCGTTTCTGTGTGGAGTTTGTTTGTTTCTCCATGCATTAGCGTGGGTTTCCTCTGGGTGCTCCGGTTTCCCCCACAGTCCAAACACATGCGGTACAGGTGAACTGGGTAGGCTGAATTGTCCGTAGTGTATTAGTGTGTGTGGATGTTTCCTATAGCTGGGCTGCAGCTGAAAGGGCATCCACTGCATAAAAAGACATATGCTGGATAAGTTGGCGGTTCATTCCGCTGTGGCGACCCCAGACTAATAAAGGGACTAAGCCAAAAAGAAAATGAATGGATGAATGAATGAATGACACAATTGGTGTCACATCATGGTGTCATGACAGTCTTCTGAACAGCCCCTTCAAGTAAACATTAAGCTTTTCCCCCATGCTGCAAGCCTTTCAAATGTTGAAAGCGCACATCACTTTTTGTCCTCTCAAATTTCAGGGGTCATAAAAGATTCCTTTTGTCATAAGAAAAAAAATCATCAGCCTTGAATTGCTCCGTGTGACAAGCTCGTTGGCTGAATAATTGCCAATTCTGATTGAAAATGAATGAGTTTGGTTGTGAAAAGCGCTTGAAGGACCAAAAATGAAAATTCTGTCATCATTTCTTTCAAACCTGCATGACCTTCCTTTGCACGAAACTATTTCGTCTACACAATGGAAGTCACAGGGGTCCAAAACAACATTGACTTTCACTCTGTGGATGAAATATTAATAATAATAATAATAATAATAATAATTTTGAAGCAGTGGCGCAGTAGGTAGTGCTGTCACCTCAGAACACGAAGGTCGCTGGTTCGAGCCCCGGTTGTTTCAGTTTAAGTTTCTGTGTGGAGTTTGCATGTTCTCCCTGCGGTACAGGTGAATTGAGTAGGCTAAACTGTCCGTAGTGTATGAGTGTGAATGAGTGTGTATGGATGTTTCCTAGATATGGGTTATATATAAATATAATAATAATAATAATAATAATAATAATAATAATAATAATGATAATATTAATAATAATAACAATAGTGATGATGATAATAATAATAATAATAATAATAATAATAATAATGTCAACAATAATAATAATAATTATTATTATTATTAATATTAGTATTATTATTTTTATTATTATTAATATTATTATTATTATTATTATAAATATAATAGTAATGATAATAATAATAATGGTAATGATGATAATAATAATAGTAATAATAATAAAAATACTACTACTAATAATGATGATGATAATAACAATAATAATAATACAAATAATAATAATAATAATAATAATAATAATTAATATTATTATTATTATTATTATTAATAATAAAATAAATATAATGATAATAATGATGATGATAATAATAATAATAATAATAATGATGATGATAATGATGATAATTAATAAACTAATAATAATGATAATAATAAAAACAATAATGATGATTATAATAATAATAATAATAATAATAATAATAATAATAATAATAATAGAGGTTTGGAACAAATGATGGTGGGTAAATGATGACAAATTCATTTTAATGTGAACTGCCCTTAGAAGTGTGAACACTACAGTCTCAGCCTAGTTTACGCAGGTGTTCCTCCATGTACACACTCCGGCTCTGATTATACACACATAAACAAACACAAAAGGGACAAACTGCAGGCTCCCCTGGAGCAAATGGAGGTTCAGGTTCAGCTGCGGTATCATAACGATCCGCAAGTGACATTGAAAACAAGGGTCTCCCTGTTCCTTCCGCAGCACACCTCCAATAAACGCATTTTCAGCTTTTCCATCGGTGTGTTGTATTTGCACATAAATAATTGCCTGGAGCGTCTTCAGAAACATAATTGGAAAATAAAGTAAACAAGAGAGTGTGCGGAGCTGCTATCATTGATGCCACTCACACTTGCGAGCCGCATGAGTGTGTGTGTGTGTGTGTGTGTGTGTGTGTTTATATGTTAATCATGACCCAAAGCATGCGCTCTGTACCCACCGCCCTTCTGAAATTGGAAGCGCAGAAGAGCAAACACTCAGTCAGTCACACTGCATATAAGGGCCTGCGTTGGAGCGCTGTGATGCGATTCTCTCCGCGGGTTTCCATGGAGCCCGTATTAAGGGTGGCGCGGCTCGTTGAGGACAGATATACGGCTTGTATGAGGAGGCACGGAGCGGCAGGCGTCTTCCGGAGAGTGGAAACCAGAGAGATGGGCGTATGCATGCTTTCATTACGCAGAGCCGCTCCGCGTCCCAGCGGCGGCACAGTGAGAGTCCCTCGCTGATTGAAATTCAAACAGGAGCTCGTCCTCCCCATCAATCGCATTTCAACTTTCTTTTTTTTTTTTTCTATTTTGGCAAAAGACGTTTTCCAGGTCTGCTTTAGTCGTGGCTTTAGATGGAGCGCTCGCTGGCTTTTTCATCTCCCTCTAGCCAATCACACGCTTATCTCACCTCGGACAGGGAGAACTGAGTGGAACCGGTGAATTTACACAATTACATTTAGATTGGTGCCAGTCTGCCCGAGTGCCCTGTTTAAATTCACATTTTCTCTCTCTCTCTCGCTCTCTCTCTCGCTCTCTCTGTCTGTCGGTGGTTGGTTTCCTGCTAAACCTTATTGTCTGGCGCTCGTGTGGCGTGTGCATATTTCACATTTA